TCGATGCACTCGAAGGTGATCTCGAACTGGAACGGGTTGTAGAAGGGGGACGGGTTGTCCAGCACCACCACATTGTTCACCTGGACCTTGGCCATGGCGCGGAGGGCGAGCCGGGCGCCGCCCGCGGCCCCGCACAGCCGCCGCCGCCGCCGCCGCCTTTGCCTCCGCCGCCGGGAACTTGCTCGCCGGGCGGGCGCTCCGCGGGCCGTGCAGCCTAGACCGCCGAGCCTCGGCCCATTCTGCCGGGTAACGCGCCGCGCCGCCGCTGCGATTGGTCGCGCTCTCGGACCTCCTATCCAGGCCGCGGCGGCGGGCAAGAGGGGCTCCGGGCGGCGCGGCGCGGGCGCTCTCCCTGCGGCTCCACCTGCTGGCGCGCCCGGACAAAGCGAGCGCCGGGCCGGCCGCGCGACCCGCCGGCCACGCCCCCGAGCAGGCCGGTCACGCCCCGCGCCCCTCGTGGGGCGTGGCCACGGAGGGAAGGCGGGAGGCTGTTGCTCTGCTCTCCCGTGCTTCCTGAAGGATTTTGATTTTTGGGGTGTGGTGAGGGCATATAGCTCTTCGTGCAGGCATCAGTACACGCGTTCTCCCGGTTCTGCTGAATTTAGCACATAAGTTTGACTAGTGTACTCGCGGTGGGACTCTGTGGCCCATGTTCCAAGTGATTTTTGGAGTAGAGAGAGGGTGGGTTGGGGGAAATGAATTGCAACCTATGAACCGAGGTCCCCTCCAAAGGAGCAAAGCCATTTTGGAAACAGAGTTCTCCACCAGTGGCTGTGTTCAGTTAGAGACGCAAAAGTAGGGCTGGGGTGGGTCCGTAAAGGTTTTCCTTCCGGGCAGTGTGTCCTGAGCATTTGCAGCAGCACCTGGGCTTTCTCCCTTGTCCTGATCCAGCAAGTCCCAGACCAGGCGTTTATAGGAGATGTGAACAGCTATTCCTAGCCCCCTGCCCTGGAGGCCCATAAGGAGTGCATGGAAGGGGGAAAGGCAACTCTCAGGAGTTGCAGAATGGACGTGGAGCAGCCTTTGCCTGTCCAGATGGTTCTAGGCCGAGCAGAAGAAATGACTTGTTTGTGCAGCTGGGCTCATGTTTGTGAGGCAAGCTGTTCCTGTTTACTAAGTCAGGGTGTATAAAAGTTCGTTTGCTATTCATAAATTATCATTCTTTCCTTGTGTTGTATATGAAACCAATGAACTTGGTAAAATTCAGAGTGGAAATTATTTAAGTACATTTATAGTGGATAAGTTTTCTCGTAGTGCATTGCCCCAAACTTTGACTAGTCATTCTGTGAGCATTGTTCAGACTTATCTCTTCATCTGGTGTCCTTTTGAAGTTAATGTAGGACCATTAACGCACCCTCCCCTCCCCCATGTGTAAGAAAACTAGCTAAAATGGAGGGAACTCAACGGCCAGCAGGGGCGTTTCTGGACGCTTGGTTGTCTTTGTGCATCAGAGCAGCAGTCATGCTGCGCGCTGGGAACAGGCTGCGAAGATTGACAAACAGAACACTCTTCACTCCTAGTTAGTGTGGTGTTGGCCCTCGCCAAGAACGAGTAGAAATCGGACACCGTAAGACGTGCTGCATATTTAAGATAAAGGTGTCCACTTGGAAGCTGAAACATCGCTTCTCAGCCTGTTGGCTGAGATCCTATGAGGCTGGTGTATGCAGCGGTCTCACTATTTTGGACCTCTGAAGAGGGCATTCTGAGTCACTCATTTTATGAAAAGACATATCTCTGATACAGTGAAGTACATTTCGCATTTTGACCACAGGTGTTTGAAAACAGCATAAGACTTACTAAACTCATTTTTATTTGTTTATTTATTTATTTATTTTTTTGGCAGAACCAGGTATTGAATTTAGGCCCTTGCAGTTGCCAGGCAAGCACTTACTCTACTGAGCTATCTCCCTGGCCTCTAAACTCATTTTTAGTGAATGTGCAGTGTCAAAGTCTGAAATGTACCTGGTTACTATTAAAAATAATACTTTTGGGGGCCAAGGAGATGGCTCAGTAGAATAAGCACTTCCCTGGCAAACACAAGGGCCTGAGTTCAATCTCTGGTTCTGCAAAAATAAATAAATAATAATAATTTTTATTATTGTATCTTTTTAAATTTTTTTTCCATTTATGTATTTGGCACAGGGTCTCACTGTGCAGCACAGACTCATAGTGATCCTCCTGTTTTCAGCCTTTCTAGTGCTGAGATTACACGCAGGCAACACCACACCTGGACTCTTCTTAATGTATCATATACAACAGTTAAGGAGAAGAAATCATCCTAATAATTCACTGGAAGCTGCAAGAGTTAGGCCCAGGCCTGCTACTTCTCTGCTTAACTGCTTGATTATTGTACATCAAAAATATTAAAGGTGTCAGACCACTTTCTCCAATAGCTCACTTACTGTGGACAGTACTTTTCAGGAAAGAGCAAAACATCCCTTGGGTATGTCCTGTCCAAGTTCTGAATTCATGGTGTGCTTCAGGGGAGAAACAGTTGTAAAAGCCTGTCTCATGGCAGAGGCAGTCTGTGGGTCCTGTTGCTAAACAACGTTTTGGTGACTCCTGGACTGCAAACTGCAGTGCAACACACAGGTCAGGACTAGCATCTTAATTAGTAAGCACCCAAGGGTGCCCACATGAGGCCTGGAGGCCTCTGTGAAAGGGAATCCCCAGGAACTTCTCTGTCAGTCTCTGGGAAAAGGATGCCTAGAGATTGTTTGGCCTGGCTAGTTACTAGAGCACAAATAACAAACCTGGTTGGTTAGTGTCACATGCTGAGCTTGGCTCCCTTAGGCGTATACCCTGAAGCACTAACACCTGGTGCCCAGAACAGGCCTGCTCTGGAGACAGGGCCTATGAAGAGTGAGGGGGCGCAGCAGACTGTTAGGGAGCCCTCCCCCAGTCTGCCTGGCAGGCAACAGAGGAGCACCAGGGCCCATGCACACAGGAGGATGCAGTAAAGGTAGCCTTGGTCCCACCTTCTTGCCTCCTAACTGTAGGGAAATGAATTGTGTTGTGAAAGTGACCCAGTCTGGCATCTTGTTACTCAGTAGCAACAAACTGATGGAGCTGTGAGACTGCCCACTCTGGATCGAGTTTATTGGGCATCTAAGCTTGTTTAAATCTTACTATCAATCAGTTATTGTGGTGGATGGACAACTGGTAGTCAACATGTGACATCCAGATGAACTAAATCAGCATGATGCTGGCTGCTGGAGGCCCACCTGATGATTGTTTCTGGCAGCATAAGAGGCAGAACTAGAGAGGAAGAAGTTTAGAGGCTGTAGGGAGCTCTTGGTTCCCTTGGAGGAGTTTGTTGTGCTGGCTTTCCTGATGAACTCAGCTGTTCTCATTGTCAAAGGACTTTGCAACCTGGTTGTCACTGAGAAAGGCTATACTTCACTTTGGGGAATCTCTAGTCCTCACCTTAAGCATCACTTCGGAGGGGAAGGTGGTACCCTGCTTAGTCTGCTGGAGAAGCTTGCTGAACTGGCTTTTCTGATACAGACTCAGCTGTTGTCATCATTGGAGGAGCTCAGGACCTCACTGTCCCGTGGATGGCTGTGGTACCTTTCAGGGGAGCTCTGGTTCTTGCTCTGAGTATTGCCTCCTGGCTGCAGTGCAGATCTCTCAGCCTGCTAGCCCAGATCTTTGTTCCCACTGCGTAGATGTTCTAGCTTCTACCACTGACCTTTGGGCCTTCTCCGTGCAAGTGCAGGGAACAGGCCTGCATGAGACATTGTCCTGGGCTCTAGGCCCCAGTTGGACTCATGGGAGGCGTTGTTATGGGCTGTAGGTCTTCAGCTGGACCATGCAGGACGTCACCATGGGATCTAGGCCCTCAGCTATATTCTTTGGTCTTCAGTGTGTGGGCGGATTGCTGCAATCTTTTGGTATGTGACTCTTTGGGTGACTATTTAAAAATAATCTTATAATTAAGTGTCCTATATTGTATTGTTTCCCCTTGCAAAACCTCAAAATACAGCAGTTATTGAGTACTTTCTGAAGTGTGAAATGACATGGTTCTCCTGCTGTTCTGGAAGAGGAAAAGTGTCCCTTGATGAGCGTTCAGCTTGAGTTTTGAAGACAAGATGTAGCCTGTGTCCATGGACTCAGGACCGCTCACAGAGGGCATCCAAGAATCAGTGTAACCTTGAGTCAAGACACACAGAGCAAGGTAAAAGTAAGAGTACAGTAGAATTAGGCCAAATGAAAATCCACTGCATGCACATATATCTGAAGTAGGTATTGGGAGCCAGGGAGATGGCTCAGTGGATTAAGCGCTTCCCTGGCAAGTGCAAGGGCCTGAGTTCAATCCCCGGTTCTGCCAAGAAAAAAAAAAAAAAAAAAAGAAGTAGGTATTAAGTGGACCCCAGTCTACTGCTGCGGACATGATCATAGGCGTGGAAGTACTAATCCTAGATTTCCACCTGGAGTAGTTGCATCAGCACAGAGTTTTTATTTTTTATTTATTTATTTATTTATTTATTTATGGTACTGGGGATGGAACTCAGGACCCTGTGCTTGCCAAGCAGGCGCTTATTCTACTGAGCTATTTCCCCAGCCCAAAAGTTCTGAAAAAAAAATTTTTTTTTTTTTTTTGACTGATTCAGGATGCCTTCAGGGCAGGTCTGGCAAGGCTTGAGGATATTAGGCTCGAACCACAGCATCCTGAGCCTGACTGCTTTGTTGAAGCACTCACTTAAAAGACTTTGCTAGGGCTGGGTCGAGATGGCTCAGTGGAATAAGTGCTTCTGTGGCAAGTGCAAGGACCTGAGTTCAATCCCCGGTTCTTAAAAAAGGCTGAGCTGATGGGCAGGCCCCCAAAATATTGTGAATTTTTTTTTTTTTTTTTTTCAGAACTGGGGATTGAACTCAGGTCCTTGTGCTTGCCGAGGAAACACTTAATTTACTGAGCCATCTCCCTGGCAGCACAGTATTGAGTTTCTTTGAGGGGTCATCTGTGTCAGTGTCTTGTCTGTTCAAGGGTATTCTCTCATAAGGCTAGCATTTGGTGGCTGGCTTTTTGCAGTGCTGGGGACTCACTACAGCTTGCTTGCTTTCTTTCTTTCTTTCTTTCTTTCTTTCTTTCTTTCTTTTTTTTTTCAGAACCAGGGATTGAACTCAGGCCCCTGAGTCCTACTGAGCTATCTCCCCGGCCCCTCAATACAGCTTTCTACAACCTGGGCAAGTGCCATGCCACTGAGCCACACTCCGCCCCTGCCCAGGGTTGTGGCTTTATTAGAATCTTAGTTTAAAAGCTCCTTTGTCCTCCCAGAACATCAGAATGTAATGGTGGTT